TTGTCTGCCTGGCCCGCTAGCAGGCCACAGCCAGGTTGTCCCGGTTCCCGCTCACCCTCGGGGCCTAGAACAATGCCTGGCGGAAACTGGCTCTCGGTGAATACTTGCGGAGTGACGGATTCGGGAAGCCTCTGCCGAGACTAGACAGTCATCGGAGTCCTGGGCGTGGGCAGTGCATTCTCTACAGCCACCGCCAGGCGGCGAGCACGCACAGTTCCCAGCCTCCAGCCAGGTCCCCTTCTCACCTGGGGTCACCCAGGGACCCAGGGCACTCGGAGGGCCACGCCCAGCCTGATGCCAGGAGGGAAGCAGCCCTGCAGTGGGGCCCGGGATGGGGACGGCCGGCAAACGGGGATCCTGACGCCAGAGGTCGGGACGTGCTGAGGGAGGGGCCGCCTACGGCCAGGGCTTTAGGGTCAGGCAGGCCCAGGAGCAGAGCAGGGCGTGTGGGCTGGCCCGAGGGCGGACTGGGGAGGGGTGGGCAGGAAGGCAGCCCACAGCCGCACCCTGACCCACCTTCAACACAGAGTGCCTAACACCCTGCCCTGGCTTCCAGGCCCATGTTCACAGCCAGAAACACCCTCACATTTGCAGTGGGTGACAGACACCCTGCCTGCCAGCCTTAACAGGAACACACAGTGTTGGGAACACCCTGACAGGTTCACCATTTGTGCCCTGCGGGGGCGGGGGGCACAGGGGCACACAGGCCCCTCCTCCGATCCACAAACACCCCTGGATCTTCAAACTCACAGATATCCCCTCAGCTACTTCCTCTGCGGTTCAGAATGTGACTCCCTGACACACACACAGGGCCAGGCTGACAGGTATGTGGTGACCTGCTACACAGAAACCTCCGGACACACACCTAGCCGTGCAGGACTGCCTGACACACCCGGTGCCCGCTCAGACACGGCACACAGGCACGGACACACACGTGCAAATTCAGACAGACACCGAGACCCACGCAGGCACAGCCTCAGAGACACACACATACTTTGTATACTTTTGATCGTGCGGAAGATAGCCAAGCCCTTCTGACTAACCTCACTCCCAGCCCGACCTTATCTCAGCCACCACTGAGCCACCCTACCCCATGGGGAACTCCGACGAGGGCTGGGAGCTGCTGGAAAGACCCCTGTTGGGGGTGAGGGGTGGCGACCCCACTGGCCAGGCGGAGCAGGAGCAGCCAGGCTGGGTGGGGAGGCCTGAGCTCATCAGATTCCTGCCCGAGTGATTCACCGGAAGGGCCT